TGTCACATTTATTTCTGTACCTTGCTTGTCATAGGGCTTGGCACATAACAGGCACTTAATCTGTCATTAAATTATCCCTTTCATTACTGTATCATATGTGGACTTACTGAGCATGTCTTGTACATCTTCAATGATATTTAAACCAATGGGCCAATTGAATCAGAAGCTCTGGGGGTAGAATCAGGCATTTTTTTTAAAAGCTCCCCTGGTGATTCCAATGGGTGGCCAGGATTAAGAATCACTGGTCTAAGTAATAAAAATATTGAACATTGTTAAGGACATAGCCATGTGCCTTATCAGTAGAGACCTCCCTATAGGTTGCTGTTGGGCCATTAATAATTATGTCTTGTTTACTTAACTACTTCCAATTTCTATAACGAACTGTTCTTGCCACCAGCCTGATTTTTCTTTAATTATGTTGGACTATTGCTTTTTGTTTTACTAGCAGAAAGGCTTTTAAAAAATCTATCATAGTGCTGGTTTAGATGACTTATACATGTATGGAGGCAGAAGGATGGAATGAATAATTGAACTTTGAAGATTCCTTTCCAAGTCATGTTTCTATGATTCCTGCAAACCACTTAGTCCCATGCCTTGCTTAGTACTTTAAGTATTTTAAAGACTCTTGTAGACCAAATACCACAAAAATGCCATTGTACTAAGCAAGACATTTTTGAGGTTAGAAGCACAAATGGGCTGAACTTCTTTATAATGTTTTGCAGAGAAAGCATTGTTCAGACTTTTCTAGGTGATAAAATAAACTAAAGGATTATTTGATTTTTTTCTTCTCTCCCTTGCAGTCTGATATGAGAAAATGAATAACTGCGTGTTGTGCTAAATAATGTGAAAAATCCATATTTATGCTAGTGCCTATCTTGCTTTGGCAAAAGTACTTCTCTAGGTTATGTACTGAAAATTGTTGTGTTGTGTTGTGAATTATGAACAATTATAGTAACTCATGTTATTTTCTTATAAATGGAATTGCTTTCTCTCCATGTATTATTTTGTATTTTTTCAGTTGGGCTTATCAGCAATGTATTGAGTAATTATCAAATATTTATCACTTTGGTAAGTTCTTATACTTAAAAAAGTATAAGATGAGGTCTAGGTCCTTTAGAAGTTTTCTATCACCTTGGAATTTTGAGATTATTTCATATGCATAAATTAAATAATAGCATTAGATATTATAAAATTAAGTATGAAAGTACTGTTAGATTTAGAATTAACATTTTCACTATATCTGGGTAAGGAAGACAATTTTCCAGGAAGAGATAAATGTATTTATTTTCTTAAATTTGTTCATATTGGTAATAAATATGTTTTAAAAATATGAAAGAATGGTAAAATACCACATTCTATTTCTGTAATGTAAAAAATCGTCTGATTTGGTTTGAAAAACCTGTCAATTTGTGCTTTGAATCCCTATCTGGATTTAAGGAACCATCAGGCTACTAAAAAAGCCAAGTGCCAGTCACCTTTAAGCCAATCTAAACCTAACCTGGCTTAAGAAAATGATGAGCTCCGGCCGGGCTTGGTGACTCACGCCTGTAATCCTAGCACTCTGGGAGGCCGAGGTGGGTGGATTGCTCGAGATCAGGAGTTCAAAACCAGCCTGAGCAAGAGCGAGACCCCGTCTCTACTTATTATAAATAGAAAGAAATTAATGCCAAGTAATACATATAGAAAAAATCAGCAAGGCATGGTCACACATACCTGTAGTACCGGCTACTCGGGAGGCTGAGGCAGAAGGATTGCTTGAGCCCAGGAGTTTGAGGTTGCTGTGAGTTAGGCTGATGCCATGGCACTCACTCTAGCCTGGGCAACAAAGTGAGACTCTGTCTCAAAAAAAATAAAAAATAAAAAAATGATGAGCTCATTCAAAAGTACTTCTGGGATATTTTGGAATTGAATGCTTTCAGTATGGAAGGCGGTTATATCTTTTTTGTTTGTTTAATTCAAATGTGAATTAGATATATGATTATTGAAAACAAATATTTAAGATATTTTGACATTAGGGATAGTTCTGAATTTATGTTTTATCAACAAAGAGTTATAAATAAACTCCTGAAACCATTCAGGGTCTATATGCTTTTGCCTGTGCAAATGATACCTGTATATTTTGGCCACGTACATGGTTTTTTAAAACAAGAATCCCTTCTGTCCCCCTCTTCCTTCTCTTCAGCCTGCCATGTTACCCCTTGCTTCCATATGCCTATGGAGTTTCCTCTATGGTTCTTTTGTGTGAACCAAAACAAAATCTTAAGCCCACCAGACAACTGAATGGACTCCCTCTTGGCCAACGGGACAATTCCTCTTAACCCCTCAAAAACCTTAAAGTTGAGTTGCCAGCCATGAGAAAGGAGGTCAGACACTCCTAGGTATGCTTTGTCCCTTTTGGAGTTATTCTTTGTAATAATAGGATACAAAATAATTAACAAGCCTAAGGCTACATAAGACAAAGGTTAAACAACACCTGCAGGTCATTGATTTACTTAGCAGATCACTTGAGTCTCAGTATGCGTCCAGTGGCTTGTTTCTGTTAACAGATGTCCTTATCTTAACTTAAACCATTCCAAGTGGCAGGCAAAGCCTCATTTCTTAACCAATTACAAATCAAAGAACCTTTAAATTCACCTATAACCTGTAAATCCCCTGCTTTGAGATGTCCTGCCTTTTTGGGCCAAACCAATGTATGCCTTCCATGTATTGATGTATGATTTTCTATGTCATTCCTGTCTCTCTAAAATGTAGAAAAACCAAACTGGAACCTGACCACAGTGAGATCACTTGCTCAAGGCTTCTTGGGTGTGGCTTTCTGGGCCATAGTCATAGGTATTCAGCTCAGAATAAACCCCTTTAAATTATTTTACAGAATTAGGTTCTTTTCCATTGACATTTGTTTTCCAACTTAATGCTTGATCTGATCTTTTTATTTGCCAGAGCTTAAATTGAACATGCCTGAAAAAAGTGTCTGGTTTTTCAATGGTTTTTCTTTTTATCCAATACATTTTTCTTAAAAGATTGAAGGAGAAGTCCAGAAAAATCTATTCATCTGGGTCAAAAGGACACGCTATGTTTATAGTCTAAGTCCCAGAGTGAGGCATTTCAGTGGTCCACCTATGGCATTGATTCAACTCCACAATCTAGTGGAGGAAAGCAAGTACCTCTCAAGGTGCATAATCTAGAGTGCACGCATGGGGCTCTTATGGATTTGTACTAATTTAACTTAATTATTTACATAGGATTCTGAAAAAATTGCATGCAGCCTTTCCTATATCACAGCAGTTTGTGCCTATCAAAACTCTTAGAGGTTATTTAATACTCTCCTTCTTGAAGTGTGGTTTGTATAACTCAGACCAGCATTATTTGTTTTCACCTGGGGCTTGTTAGAGATGTAGACTCCGAGGCCCCACCACAAAACTGCAGGTGTATTACTACATTTTGACAAAACCCCCAAATGATTCATATGTATGTATGAGTTTCAGAAGCACTGGGCTGATTTTAGTTAGTAGTGCCTTGAAGATTTTGGCAAAAGCAAAGGGGTAGGGAGGGAAAACAGCATTTAATTACCAAGCACAGTGCTATAAACCTTACATGTAATATCTCATTTGATCTTACAACTCTGCATGGTACATGCCATCATGCAAATTTACATGGGGAAACTAAGAATTGGAGGGATTAAGAGACTTTTTCAAGATTACTTATTTGATAAACTGTGGAGTCATCTTTGAGATTCAGGACTCCAAGCCCTCATGGTTTCCTAATATCCATTATCTCCTGGGACAATTGATACTCAAGTATTGTTTAACTGGATTGTTTTTGGGGTGAACATGACAGAATTTTGGGGAAAAATGTCTTCAAGAAGGTCTTGAAGCTCTCCTGAAACAAGGTTTGCAAGGAGGGTCTTTTAAATCTATACAGCATAAATTTAAGGCCTGTGATCTTTCTTGCTACATCTGTAACTCCCTTCTTTATGGCATGTCTGTCTTCCCTCCTTTCCTCCTTCCCAGTGGGAGCTCTTCTTCAGTTCAGAAAATTTCCTAGAAAGCCAGGGGACGCTGTGCGCCATGGCTTTGGCCTGGCCTATGCAGGTGCTTTTCAGAATCCCTGAGTTTCACTTTCCTTACCGAGGGTCCAGGAGAATCGTTGTATAGCCCTGGAAGCCAGTATTGTGAAAATATCTAAAATGGGCTTGACATTTCTGTAGTTACAAATGTCCACATTAACCATTTGGTGAAGGCTAGTTTCTAAGAAAGGCCTCCTCCACCCCTTCAAGTCCCTTGTCTCATTGATAGCACCACGTGGTTACCGTCAGTGGCAGGGACACAGAACACAGTCTTCCAATCCGATGAAACGCCTCCGGATTCTGTTCCTCCACACCCACCAACTTCTCTGGCTTCTTTCTCGAGAAAACCAACACACTTGCATAAGGGCCTGGGTGAACTTTGTTTTCTAACCCTTCCCGAAGAGGAAGTGAATTAGGAGGAAGAACATGGAAGAGAAATATGAAGGAGGTGGGGTGAGATGGCTGAGAAGGTTCAGGAACTGCAGGCAGGAGAGCCCCTCATTGATTGATTGATTCATTGATTCATTCAGGAAACAGGAGAAAAGACCTGGTCTGCTTTGTCTCCAAGCAGCTTTGTACATTCACTGTTATTCCTAGCTGGCCTCCCTAGTGATGCTCTGCGGGATCATTAACTATTAAATAAATAAGTCCCCGTTGTTACTGCCCTGGAGTCTGGCACTTAGAACTGCTCCTGTGAGAAGCAGCTTAGCTGCAAATCAGTTCAGCGACTCAGAGCATCTGTCCTGGTGAGTTTTGATTGGAGACTCACTGTGCGTTTTTTCTGCTCACGTTGTGGCCACTCTTGCCCTGCTCAGCACTCACTCAGGCCTCTTATTGAATCTCTGTGTCGGCTTCTAAAAAAGACAACTGTGTATTTTTGTACATTTTAGTATGAAACTCTATTGTTGGTCTCCAAAGCAAATTTAGGGTAGTCTTTTTTTTTTTTGTCTCTTTTGTGATTTTAATTGAAGCATTACTATTCATTTCTTTAACTCTTATAAGCACCAAATTTTAATATCTAAGTCAATTTGGGAGAAAGAAACACCATCAAGAACTTCCCTCCAGAACAAAACAATGATGTTCATTCCTCCAAACATCCAAATTGAAGGTCTACCAAAAAAAAAAAAAAAAAAAAAAGCCCACACAGAAATAAAAACAAAAGTCACATTCTAGGGGGTCAGTGCATTTAGCAGTCTTCGCTGTGTTGTCTTAACTGTCCTTCAGCCGACTTTCAACAAAAATAACACCCTAGCTCATCAAAATATACATTTCCCATTTGCTTTTTTAAATTAAAAATAATTATTAGAGAAAACGTTAAGGAATTCACAATCAATTGCCTGACTCATTTCAATGTCATGTACAGCAAATGGAGGTCAGGAAGGTTATCTGCAGCACATGATTGGGGATATTCATCTTCAAGGCTCAGCTTTCTTCCACACTGTGTAAAATACCCACAGTTCCAGTATGAAGGGACACAAACGATCTCCTTCGAGAATTCCACAGGACAATACAGGCGCCCGAGCTGTTCTTCATAGAGCGACAGGGCTTCTGTCAGATTGACACAGTTCCCCTGTGTGAAATATTTCCCATCCTGCTTCAATACTTTCATAGAGAGGTCAAGAATCAGTCTGAGAAACTCCCATGTGGAATCTTCTTCTGGAGACGTGGAGATTGGAACAGCCGTCAAATCATTAATCACATAATCAAACTCTCTCCCTTCTTTGGCGTACCTCTTCAGTACTGGAATACAGTCTTCTATGAGAACCTGATAGCAGTCTCCTTTAAGATTGTCTAAGACATCACCGCACGTTTTTCGCATATATTTCTTACATCCATCAATCACCATTTGGTCAATGTCCGAAACAGGTTAAGGATAATTTGGGTGTATCAGAGAATTCTGAAATAGCACTCTACCATAGTGACCATCTTTGGTTTCAATTTGACTATTTCACATAATATGCCCCCATCTCAACCTCCCAGAATCAGTACGTCTTTGCCAGTGTAATCTTCTTTGCCACTGCCCAAGATGGCCTGGGCATACGCCAAGTCACTCTCTGCCAAATTAACATCCCCGCCTTCGATAGCTCAGCTGGTAGAGTGGAGGACCATAGTGGGTAGTCTTTATTTAACTCAGGCTGTCTCAAGCATGACTTTCAAATTTGGTGAAAAATTTATCAAACCCTTTGTACATTATATTATTACAAAAAAAATAAAGATTGATATTTTAGTTTATTTATAAATTATTATTATTGTTGTGTTTTAAAGATAGATAATGCTTTTAGAATATTCTCCTCCCCACCTCCCAATCTCACCCCTATGTAGAGAATTTTCCTTCCTTATTTCCCAACTAGTCCTCTATTTTCTCTCTCTCAACATCTCTACTCCCAAATAAAAGCCACTAGACAAACAGAAAACACAAAGCCAGGTGTTGTGGGTTTATCTGAGATTTAGATTTATCACCCAGCCTTCCTTTGAAGGGTCTGGAGACCAGGAAAGGCGACGACTGCCGCAGGAGAGCATGTCCCCAAGTGGCTTGGGGGTCCCAGTAGCTCCAGCACCCTGCAGGTGTGGGGCCTCAGAGTTACGTGTTCTTCCCACCTGATTCCCAGGGGTTCGAGAAAAAATTGCATAGCTGCCCCGAGGGGGTGTTATGTATGCAGAACTCTACTGTAAAAGGTAGAGCCCTAGGAAGGATTAGACTATTTGTAATGTGTTATTATAACCCCTTGGCCCTTTGGGAAAGTCTTTATGGGTGCCTTTCCTCGTTAACTGGACTTTGTTATTGTCGTAAACACTGAGGTCCTGCCTGAAATTTGGCCTAGTTCCCAGACTGCACAGCAGCGTGAACATGGGCTAATTTTTAGTCCTAATAAACAAAGCAGCTCATCTACTCCGAGTTGTCCAAAGATGCCCTTGTAGTTGAGGAAACGTGCTCGAGCAAGCTGGTCCCCACGTCAACTGAAAGAAATGCCCACTCTGCTCATACAAGGTCTCTAAAGCCCAGACTGAGATGGGCCAGTGGGCCAAAGCTGAGGGCCTTCTCCCCAGGAGATGCTGGATTTACAAAGAGGAGGCATAGACCAGCTCTGGCAAAGCAGAAAGCAAAGGCAAACAAATCATTAGGGACACCCGTGAAAGTCCCACTTTGCTTTCTTTTCTTTTCTCCTTTGTATGCCTTCCCCCATCTCCCCGAAGAAGGCATATACTAGGTCTCTCCTTGTCTCTCTGTATAATTTTAAGGGTATTTTGGGTCCTTTCTCATGTGTCACAAAAGACAAGTTAACATTTTGTTTGGAGCTATCTGAAATGTATGTGTCTAAACACCCTGGAGAAAAAAAAATTAGCGTGATTAAATTAATCTCAGAGGGAAATTTAATTTGCTCCCCTGGTAATTGTCCAAAATTAGTTCTTTGTAGATAAATTACCATTCATAGGCCATTTACTAGCTCTAGAACAGTCTTTCAAACACTGGAACACTAAATTAAAGCCTGAGGGTGGAAAAGAGAACAAAGTTTGTGACACTGTCAGGCTGATTTGCTTTGAGGGGAGACAGAAGCCCGAAAGCTTTCCCGGCCCCGTCTCTGTTTCCAAGGTCCAGGTGGGAAATGAGCTCCCGGGACAAAGCCCAGCAGTGCTCCCCTAGATCGAAAGGGCTGGAAGTTACTGCTCTCGCTGATTGAATTAATGCGAGCCCTCCCTGTGTTTCAGTTTAGACAGGTTCGGTTCCTCACCAGGGTGAAGGATGTCTCATGAGGGTCAGCGAGTCCGTTTATCAAGAGGCAGTCTAGAGACGCCTAGTTTCTGAGTCATTTCCAGGAAACAAAGACCATCTGGGAGAACACAGGATTCTGTGGGGCATTGCTTTCATAGGTAACCCTCACAACTGCTGTAAATCTCAGTTTCCTCATCTGTGAAATGGGGCTGAAACAGTAACAGCTCATTGGATTTTTTGAGGACTCCCTGAGATGACGTATGTAAGTGCTCAGTGTGGTGCTTGGCATATATAAGGAGACAATACCTGTTAGCTGGTGACACAGACAGGCCATGATATAGAAAGTCAGACATTCTCCATTCTGTGCCTAAGTTTTGGTGACACATGGATTTTACTCCTTTCCTTTGACATAACAATGTTTAGTCTGCAGTCTTCAAAGTTTTTGAGCATGTTCTCTACTTGTAAAAAAAAAAAAGTAAATCAATGTATATATATATATATACATACATATATAATATATACATACATATATAATATATACAGATTGTGTTTTTTACTTATTTTTTCCATCAGATTGTCTTTATTATAGATATATGTACATACATATGTATTGTCTTTACTATAGTTAATATACATTATATAATATATTAATATTTATGTAGATAGATTATGTATTATACTATATAATCTATATACATTTATTGTGTATTATATTTATTATATTGTCTTTACCATAGAGAGATATATACACACACGTACATATGTTGTCTATAGTACCTTAACTTTAAACATTTTATAATAGTTAAAATATATATAGAAGTTCTTTTATTTTCTGATAGCCCAAAGGATTCTTTTGGGCACTCCTGGGGGGTAGGCACCCCCTGGGGGACACATACCTCCATCAGCTTCATTGGTGGGAATGATTTTGATGTTGCATTAATCTGGCAAGTCAAGCAAGAAGGCTTCCTAAGGGAGTCTTGGCAGGCAAGGTGCTCCTGCTCTACTCTGTCGTTCACTGTTTTCTTCATAGCATTGATCACTTTCTTAAATTGTGTCATCAGTTTAAAAGTTTATCGTCCGCTTCTTCCTGCTTCCCTGCCCATAACTAAAACGCAAAGTAGCTCTATGAGGGCGGGGGACTTTGTTCATTCGCATCTGTGGCCCTGGATCAATAACACAGTCCCTGTCACACAGAAGGCCCGTGACAAAGATCAGTTGAATGAATGGATGAATCTGGGAGAGATGTGCTCTCTGCTCTTTCCCTCCCAATAAATAAATGTTTTTTGCCTGTGGCCAGGAACCCAGGCTCAGGAGAATGTGAAGATGGTGATGGTGCTGGTGGTGATGATGATGAGGAGGATTGTGGTCAACATTTGTTGCCAGCCCTCTGTAAAGCCTCTTGTGTGGTTGACCTTTTTATTTTGTAGTTTAGAGATAATCTTTCCCTTGATAATTAAGACTATTTCTCTCTCTGGAATCTAGATCGTACTGTAACAATACTATGTTTTCCTCCTTTTGTGGCAGTCGAAGCTAGGTGTTCCCCTTCAAGCTCCTGAAAGTTACTTTTTATAGTTGTCATAACATTAAAAGTGATCTCAAATGTGAGAAGATTTTGTGATAGTGCCGAAACTGTGGTATTCATTGCAAAAGCTCTTGAGGCTCAGCCTGCGAGATTCATAGATGTAGGCGGTGTTCCTGGACAACCACTGAGCTCACTCAGGTTGAGCCTCTGTGATGCATTCTTTAAGGCAAACATAGAAAAACAAGAAAGTTATTATTAAAAATGTTAACTAATCTTGTGTATATTACTAACGTTCTTACCTGGTGTTTGGTTGGGAGTAAAAGAAAAGGAAACAACTCTAATTGACTTAGGCAATAAAAGAATATGAATAAATCATATCACTGAAAAGTTCAGAAATAGGGCTTGCTTCAGGAGAGGTTTGGTCTAGTTTCTCTCTCCACATTTCTTAGCCCTGCATCTTCAGCATAGACTTTATTCTTGGAAGCCTCCCCACTCATGGCCCCAGGATGAATTCAGACATTGGTAGTGTGCCAATCTCTGAACTCAAAATTGTACTTAGGAGGATGGGCCATGCAGTTGGCTTAAATTAATCTGCGCCTGACCCTGGAGTTATGGATGGGAGTTGAATTCATCCAGATCTCAGGACTGAGAAATTTGGAGCATTGTCAGCTCGGGCGGAGAGGAAAATCGTCAAGTGTCTGTTACACCTGGCATTAGCAGGACTGGATTTGGAGCACTGAGGTTGGTTTTGATATTTTTTGTAGCTGATGTGTCTCGCACGCTCAGAATATTGGTTAGTTTCCATTTCTGGATGTGGTAGCCATTAGTGATGTCCGTTAGCATTTCTAGCTTTCTATCTTTTAAACACATGCTGACTCTTTTGGCCAATGGGTCGTGAGCATTTGGGTTGAAGCATTAACATATGGGTGGGAGACTCTCCAGAGCTTTTTCTTTCCCTCTGGTACCGCACCTGGAAGCATTTGAGATGGTGGCTGGTCCATCATGAATAACTGTGAAGAGCAGATTCATGTTGGACAAGTAGCATGAGCAAGAAATAAACTCTTACTGTGTTAAGCCATGAAGATTTTGGAGTTGTTACTGCGGCATAGCGAGTTTATCCTGCCTAGTATGTTGTATTTATTAATCCACTTGGATTATCTGGGTGTTGCTCACAAAAATCCTACATTTGTATAATTCTTTGAATTTAGCAAAAATGCTTTTATATCTATGTTCTTATCTCCATGATAGCTCTATAACTATATGAGATGTATTATTAGCTCCATTTTACCAGTGGAAGAATTGAGGCTAACTCCCTAAATGCTCCGTTTGCTAAGTAAGCAATGTTTGGTATTTTTGATTTGCTTTGTTTTCTTAAGCAATAGGCCTACATTGTGCATATGAGAATCTCATTATAAAAAAAGAATGCTTCCTATTTTATTAATATTTTATTTGATAGCCCATCTCTGAAGAATTTATCAATTTTACTTTATTCTTTCCTGCCTACCAAGTTCAAAAGTGGAAATGTAAAGGACCTCGGCCACTGCTGCTCACGTTGAAAGCTTAAGTAAGGGAGTGATTATCTATACTGCTTGTCTGCATTGAGCTCCGTCTGGGACAAAGAGAATCTCTCTTGAGGGGAATTGAAAGGGAATAAAAGGCAGTAGATAACCAGGGCTCTGACCAAGGTGCTTGACCGGCGAGGAAGAGGTAGATATACTGAATTTCCTTTGGTAAGAAAGGGGCAGCAGGCTCAGAATGAAGAGTGGAGGAGAAAGCAAGGGATGATTACCCTGAAAACAGAAGAGACATCTGCTTTGCAGTGAACGGGGGCAGCACAGTGGTGAAGAGAGTAGGCTCTGGAGCAGAGTGCTGGGATGCAAATCCTGTTCTTTCACTACTTATAAGCTGGGGAACCTTGTGCATGTTACATAATCCCTCTGAACCTTGGATTTCCCTTCTACAGAATGGGCAAAATAGCACCTATTTCA